GGTGCGGGGGGCCGGGCGGGGGTAGCACGGGTACCTTGTCAGGCCGTAACCTTTCCTCCCTGTTTGCTTATAAGGTATCTGCACGTTTTAATGATCTTCTGGTCATTCGTCGCTGGTGTCGTCACGTTCTACTGTTCATTAGGACCGGATTCCCTTTTGCCCAATATTCTTTTTACGATAAAGTATAAACCCAAGGTAAACATGCTTGTTAACGCTCTTGTGCTTTCTTTAAATTCGGTAAGAATTGATACTGGGTAGCAATTCCTGTGTAATTCTAGCACCTTTGAGCAGTATAAGACCTCAATACTGTTTGCATCCACTGACGGATAGGTGTCTCGTAGCACATATGTGATGATTAAGGCTTTAGCTGCTGTATATTTTTTTACATAGTCCCATGAAAGCTAAATATGGCTGTAAGGCTGGCCGTTGGAAGCGTTCATGGATCTTACTTTGTAGTTTGCTGTTTTTTGCTCTTGGCATTTGTGTAGCAAGTAGTTGAGAAAAGAGTTGTCTTCTCTTTTATTTAGGCTTTTTCTTTTCTAAAGACGCTCTTACTCTGGCAAGCCAGAGCTAAGTCATCTTTGGTGATTGTAGTCACCCTTCTTTAAGTGGTACTGAATCTCCAAAAAAAAAAAGCCCCAAAGAAATTGCTGTTTTCTAACTTAAAATGGTTTAATATAGAATTTTGTAGGATTAAAAATGTTATAGTTGCAATAGTTCGAGGCTCTGAGTAAGGAAACTTTTGTAGAGAAACTAGCTGGTCTGTTATTAGACTGACTGATGTATGGGGAGATGACTGCAGATGTGAAAGAGTATCCGTCCCTTCAAACTTTGTTGCAGTGGAAGCAAATTTTTGTGTTTGGATCAGTTGTTTCTCATAGCACATCTTGTTACCTTGTTTTCCTGCTGGGAGAACAGCTTTGTCTTTCTGCTGTTCAGTTCTCTGTAACTGTATACTCTAAAAGGAAATTCACAAATGCTTATTGAGAGTCACTATTTTCAAGAATGTAAACTTGTCCAAATATCTTCTCCTTAGCAATTAGAATTGCCGGAGTTATTTCCCCACGGTCACAGTTGTGCTGTATGCGGCAAAGTCAAATGCAAGAGGCACAGGTAAATCAAATACGCGGCACCCGTGAACTTAGCGTTTCTTACAGCAGGAAACGTTCCATTAGAAACTGCTACATCAACTTTTTGCACGCTCTCCTGCAGACCTGGTTTGCTTCTGGAAAACTATCAGCCATGGCTGGATCTGAAAGTGCCTTCCAAGGTTGATGCATCGCTCTCGGAGGTAATTGCTGCTTCATTTCTTTAGTACCTTGAAATTCAGCAGGTTTTTGTTACAGATCTATTTGACCTATTGCATCTGGTTCAGTAGATAGTTCAGATGTAATTCCCTTCGTATCTTGTTCCTGTAAAAGTCAAATGAAAAGAAAATATGTGCTGGGAGCAGGGGGCGGGGATGACCTGCTCGTTAACACAGGTGTGATTGTTCCTCTAGCAGTGTGCCTAGAACATAGAAATGCCTGTGTAAATTGGGAAGCATATAGGGAAGTACAGTTAGAATTGAGGTCTGATTCTCAAAAAGTTAAGGATTTCAGCCTGCTTGGGTTTTTTTGAAGTGGAGGTGAAGAGATGGTTTGCTCCAGCTAAACGGTTTCTGTAATGAAGGTGTTAATGCGATGGTGGTTATTGAAAATCATCAGACAAAGCTGTAACAAAATCTGTTTAAGAAGAGGAACTAGTGGATCTGTTAAAAGGACAGCAGGAAAATAAGACTGGAAATCAGGAATTTTTTTTCTTCTTTTCCCTTTCAGAAGAGAAGGGCCGTCTGAAGAGCTTTTTTTTCCTTCGGATTTGCTTTTTTCCCCTTAGTTATTGATAAAATACATTGGCAGCTAAATTATGTAATCTTTTGTCCTTTTTCAAAGCTAGGAAAATACACAAATGCTTGTGTCTCTTAATCTTCATTTGCTTACAATTCCATCTTTGGAGTCCTGTGGTAGGAGGACCAATAATGGGCACGTCGGAAGTGGGAAGAGTCTTGCGTGTCAGCTAACGCTGTGGCGTGTGAAGTCAGAGCTGCGTGTGTGTGTCTGCGGTGTAAGCTAACGCTTGTGTTCGGCTCTCTGTGGTGGCGTCCGGGGCACGGCCCGCAGCAAGAGTAGCGAAACGATGGAAACCTTAACAGAAGGGAGGAGTGGACAGTTGAGGAATGCTTTTAAAAAAACACAGATAACGACTTGTAGACTTCCTTTGGTTTAATGTAGTGAGTTCCTCTGCAATTTCAGAAGCAAACATTTACTGTTTTAAAATTACTTAATCTATTATATTTTTTTAATCAGTCTGTTCAAGTGTAATAAAATAACATTATTGCTGAATATCATTTCAAGAGGTTTGTTTTTGAAGCCTCTTTTTTTAATAATAAAATGGAAAATTAATGCTTCTGCGCATGTAATATTTTTAGAATTTTGGGTAGCGAATAGCTGTGGCAGTTTACCAAAGGATGTGGTAAAGGCTGAAGAACTGGAAATGTTCCTGTTTAGCGTAAGTGGGAATTTAATGCTAAAAAAATTCTGTGTAGTATGTTATTTATAAGGGATATGGGTCGATGCCATAGTTACCTTCTAAGACTGATCCTTAAAATGCGTCGCTACGCGTTGGCGTTTTGTATTTGATTGCCGTTGCTGTAGGTCTGCTTTTACCCAAGTGGTGTGTGGGCTTTGCTGGTTCTTCTTCACTTCAGTGGCATGTCCCTGGCCCCGCTTTATTTAGCAGTGTAGACATGGCTTTTGTATATCTATGCTGTGTTTCTCGTTCCTTTCTTTTCTTTGGGTGCTTAACTAGATGGAAGCGCCAGACCCGAGTTCTGTGCCTTCCTGGGGCAGTGAGCCAGGCTCATCATCTTCAATGGACCCAAACAAGGAGTCTCTTGGAGCCACCGTTTTCACATGTGTAGGGTACCCTTTGGAACAAGGAAATTGCGTTGCGTTGTTCCCCTCTGTACTGGTTAAAAGGGTAGCAGGGGTTCTGCCCACACCGTATTCCTCTTGATCATCTGCCTTGGGGAGGCAGCATGGAATGCATGCCTGGAATTGGACAGCCTGTGTAGGGTTGGAAGGAGAGACTGCTCTTTTTTTCTTTTGTGTGTAGGTCATACATTAGAGGAATGCAGATGCAACGAGAACTGAATTAAGATTAATGAGGTTCCAAAGGAGTGTGGAGTGCAGCCTGCTTCTGAAAAGCAGATTCTTCAAATGCTTGGAATAATTCTGGGATTTTTTTTATTCTGGATTAGTTTTTTTTAGTTCTTCCTCTGCAGGTTGAAGAATTTTGGCAACATCCTCATTTCCAAATGTTTTGAATTCAAATAGTTGCATAGGCTTTAAGCTTGTGTTTTCAAGTGCCTACAGAATAATTTAATACACACTCAAATCAGAAGAAATCCACGTTTTTCTTACAGGCATGGATTTTCTCTCATGGATTATGATTACACTTTATCTCACTTCGCAGATGCTTAATCTTCTGCAGTTTTGTTTTGGTTATCTGGCTGCTGTACGTGGTTTAGAGGAATAAGAAAAACCTGTGGTTGGACTTTTCCTCCCCCCTTCATTTATGTTTATTATTATAGCTGAACTCTAAACTGCCTCAACTCTGCATCTGTCAACATCTGATAGTTTAGGCTGTGTCCCGTGCAGTGTCCTGAGTATAATTTTGTTTCCAGTTTCTAATTCATTGTGCTTTATCTTTATTTCCCCAGTGTTTTTTTTTCTTCTTCTTTTAATTAGGATGTGAGATCTGTTGGTCAGTTTTATGTTGTATGTACTTTCAGGTGTTACAGATTGTATAAAGGAGAACTTATTTCTGTTATTCAATTCACGAGCTCAGCTCTTTCACCCTGCTGTCTTACTTTTGCTATGTGAGGGATGGTCACAAGTAAATCTGCAGAACGCTGCTCAGCTACTCTTGGTCGGTGTCATGAAGAAATGCCTCAGTGGCTCAAGGTGTTGTCTGTTATCTCACAAATTCTTATTTAATTTGCAAGTCCTTATGTTCTTGACTTGATTATTGAAACAGAATTTTATGTCTTTTTTTTTCTTTTGTTTTCTAGAAGTAAGAATGAGGGATGGTCACAAGTAAATCTGCAGAACGCTGCTCAGCTACTCTTGGTCGGTGTCATGAAGAAATGCCTCAGTGGCTCAAGGTGTTGTCTGTTATCTCACAAATTCTTATTTAATTTGCAAGTCCTTATGTTCTTGACTTGATTATTGAAACAGAATTTTATGTCTTTTTTTTTCTTTTGTTTTCTAGAAGTAAGAAATGGACAAATGCATGACAAGAAATCAGTTATTGTCCGAACCTGTTCCTTGCCAGTTCTGAACTGGCAGCACAGTCGGCTGCATGCTTTCTTACTGGGAATCTCTTGTTCTACCCGCAGGAAGAGGTCTCACTTGCCCCGTCTTTTAAGGCTTTTCAGTTTTTCTTTGTGGTTTACTTATCAAATCCTTGCTCCTTTCCAATCTGATTCGGCCTGGTAGTTCTCACCTGCTCCTGAATCATTCGTTACTCGGCTCTGCAGTTCCTCCTTGTGACAACTGGGGTCTGTTTTATGGCAGTCCTCAGAAAGCTTGTCTCAGCAGCAATAAACTGACGAGCTTGCAGTGTTGCAGTGCACGCTAGAAAAGAATTTCTCTTTTTCCTTCAGCTGCTGCTTATATTGCTACCTGCTGCATTTGGGTTTATGCTTACAACGTCTTTCCAATTCAAAACTGCTCACAAGGAGTAGAACCAGTCATTTTGTAAAATGCTTGAAAAATAGGTAGGTTTTAAATGAAATGACTCATCGTTTGTATTTAAAACTGGAGAACAGTATTTTACAGAACAGGAAATTGCTTATCATTAGCTGTCATTCTTTGAGATGGCCTGTCTGCTCTGTTGGCGTGTGAGTAACTGAGCTTGAAGAATACTGATGCTGTTGCTAGAATGGAAGTGGGCACACACTTTCCTAGTGCTTTATGGAAGTGCAGTGGATGACGTGACAGGTGTGTTTTCTGACTTACAGGCTCAGGGATCATAGGATTCGTGGGAAAATTGTATGGAGTGTCCGCTTCCGGTTACTGGCAGTCCATCGCCTGTTATTCCTCGAGTGGTTGCATTTTGCAGTATGGATGATTTCACACTGTAGCGCTCTCTCAGCTTCATGACAGCACCTTGGTGCAATGGCACATCATACGTAACTGCCTCTGCCGTGCCACCTGCTTATAAATGTGTGAACAGGGGCTGCGTTCTGTGTGTCCAGGATGAAGGGGGTTTTTATTAAGGCCATATGGAGAACTGAGGTTCTAGCAGAACGTGTCTTGACCTCCGATATGAGGACCAGTGGTTTGTGGACTTGAAGTGTATTTGGATTAGTTGTCTGTCTCTGTGCATGCTGCCCCTAGGCCTTTGGGTAGTGGGATTATCTGCATGGCATTGTCCTGTGGAAACATCACCGTAAAGCCCTTGCAGTGTGGCCGTGTAAGCGGGAGGTGGCGTGAAACACTGGCAAGTCTGAAATGGTTCAAGGGAAGTCACTTGCTACAAACATGGGATGGATCTCTAGGAGACCTTATCCAGAGTGGGATGGCTCATCAGGTCTTATATTTTTCCTTCTTTCCTTGCTGATTTAATCACCACAAGAAGACAATTCTCAGAACCATGATTGTTTGGCTTAGCTAGCAGTAAGGATGAGATCTCTCACTCTTGGAAACAATTCTTCTAGTGGCTTTAGAAGGCTCTGGACTGTAGGCAAAGAGAGTGCCAACAAGTTATGTTAGTATGCGATGAGCTGAAATTGCAGTGACACGTGCTTGATGGACAGGCCTTTGGTTCCAAAGCAGCAGCCATGGATAGAGAAAGCTCTTTCAAGAGGAGTGCACTGTACTCTCTTTGAGTACGCTGTCGTGCTGGAAGGCTGTCCACGTGTGCTTTCCACTCCAAGCAGACGATGCTGTGCTGTCATTGCTTTTGGTGGGGAGGCACATAGCGAAAGTAGAGGAAGAACGAAAAGGGATCCTTTCACAGATAGATGCGCAGCATGGATTTTTTGGCAGGCCTTTGTTTTTGAAAGACTTTTTTTTTGAAAAAGCCTGTGGCTGCAGCCCTGAAAGAGGTTTATTTTGTTAGAAACTCTGCATGAACAAAAAAAATGTTGCAATACCTGCTAGACTGAGATTTCTGTGGAGTAAATTGGTTGTTTATATACTGACAGTGCAATGGAAGGCATCAGGGATATTGTTTTGAGTAGTCTGATCTATTGCTCTCAAGACCTGTTAAGGCCTGTGTTTGCTGACTGGAGCTGGAGCTTCCGTGGTCGACACAAGGTCAGGTTACAGTTTCAAGATCTATTACTGCTGTAGCACATGGGGTAGGGGAAAAGACATTGGTGACCATACAGTGGTCCACAACACAGACATTTAAAGTTACCCCAAACCGGCCCTTCAGAGAGAGGGTGAAGGAACAAAATTTCTCCTTCACCCTTATAAACAAAGGGAAGAAAATCACTGAAATGAAACAGTAGTAAAAGAGAGAGTGTCTTATCAAATTTGAGTAGGTGATGTTCTTAGAAATAAAGACAGAAGAAGAGTATTCGTCAGCCGCTCAAGCCTGAAGAATTGTGAGGAGTTAAAAAGGCTGTGGTATGCATTTTACTGAGTGTGCTTCTATAACCATCAGTAGAGCAGAGGCATGTAGTGCCCTAAAGATAGCATACATTTAATAATCCTTGCGGTGCACGCAGTGTGAGTGCTGCAGCGAATCTTGTCAGAAGGGTAATACTTGTTCTCGCAAATGAAACGTGTATATCAGCTGTCAGGTTCAGCTTTCCTTTCAAACAGATTTTACCTTTTTTCTTTGAAGACAGCAGCTGCTTTTGCAGAACCTTTCCCTCTGTAGAACATGGCACAGCAGCCTCACGCAGCAGCACACGTGTTCCCTCTTACTATCCTGACCAGCAGCGGTGCCGATCTCTAAAGCGGAGATTCCAACCGAGGGGTAGGCTGCAGCAGGAGAGGGTAGTGTGCAGTGTATCTTGGGGTTATAGTGAAGGAGGAGAAATTTCTCAAGAAAACTGCATCCTTTCTTCTCCTTCCCAATGTTTCTTTTTTCTTGACACTGTCTGACATTTCCCCTTCCCTCTGGAAGTTTTGCTAATCGTGGTGCAAGGACTCGTTGCAAGGACAGTTACTCAAATTTCTCCAACGTTTCTACTCGAAACGTTGGTGTAGGTGTAAGGAGAGGTGCCAAGGCTGCGTTCTGGGCAGCAGTACCCCTTGTGTCTGCGGTGGCGGTGGACGTTGGTTCAACAGGCACCGTCACCTCCCTCCCTGCTGTGACGCTGAGAGCCAAGCTGAATCGGGACGTGCCTGTGACGTGGCCGCAGCAGTGCTGGTTCTTCATTAACCCAGGTTTTCTGGCATGGAAGAGGCAACTGTGGGCTTGGCCTGTGAGGAACAGGTTTGATGGAAAGGGTGGAGAAGATTATCCTGCAGAGATCTGTGTAGATGGGACATACAGGGGCTAGGAACAGGAAAGAGTTGGCCATGAGGATACCCGTAGAACATGGACTTTGGGAAGTGCTCTGTTTGGAGTTTCGGGAGATGGCTGGACCACAAGGCAGGCTTTGCTGAAAGCTGTGGTGCAGGATGTGGAGAAAGGAGAATGCCTTTCTTATAAATTGCTTTTTATTATTATTCTTTTGCTTGCTTTGCATAGTGAGCATATGGGATCAACTGTCCTGCTTGGAGGGTGGGGGAGCGTTGGAAAAGGTGTTTTGGATGAAAAGGCTTGGAGGTGCATAGAAGCGTAGGGATGGGTATCTGTGGCCTTGGGAGAGTCCACACTGCGTCAGAAAAGAACAGGGACTGATCTGAAAAATTATGGAAGGGCTGTTTCAGGCATTTTTTGTAGCCTAACAGCATGGCCACGGGAGTGGGTTCATGTTGTGGATAGTACTAGGGGCAGCTGTTCCACACAGATACCTGATGAAACCATCACTTTGTTGCTACTTGACGACAGTACTGATTGTTATGCAAAGTGATTAGTCTGGCAGTAGGATCGCAGCGTACACTCTTGTACATTAAAGTTTTATGAAGTATGAATAACATTCTATGAGTTTGGGAAGGTGTTTGTGTGTTTAACTCTTCCAACAGGGATTTACAGTAAACTGTTTGTTTTGTAATGTGGTTGTCTTTGTTTTGCACAGGTGCTTGAGTTGGTGCTGGAAAACTTTATTTACCCATGGTACAGGTAAGAGCTTTACAAAAATGTTACTATTTTTGGGTATCATAAATGTTCATAGAACTGTTTAAGAAATAGTCACAAGAAAAGAAACATTTCTGTTTCTTTAGTAAAATATAAAGCATATTTTAATTGGTACAGTTTCATTGTATTGTCTCTTAGCAGGCTAAACCAGATCTTTTAATAATTTAGGCATGATAGAGGTGGTTCTGAAATTTGTATTTCATTCTAACATATAAAAGTGAATAATCTAAAAGTGTTTTTAATTTTCTAATAACTCTTACATGCAAGTACATATGACTTCATGAAAACCCATGTAAATTCTCAAAAACCCCCAGAAATCTATTTCCAGGTTAGAAGTACATTGAGCTTTCACACTGCTTTAAAAAAAACAAAACCAAAACCTCAAAAAACCCAACAAAACACTTTACAGTTATTTAAACCAAAAATCCCACTTTTAATAAATATAGAAAAGGTGTTTTGAATACATGTTATGGACACCTTCTTGTAGAGCATCTGGTGATTTGCTGAGTTTTAAGGTTGTGAGTGGTTGTGCTGAGCTGAATTGAGAGTACTGTATAAATAACTTCAAAATAGAGTATAAAGAAAAGACTATGGCTAATGTTTGTGGGGTTTGGGGTGGTTTTTTGCCTTGTACCTTTATGCATTAGTGCTTCAGAGTACTTTGTAAGAAGATATTAAAACTATTTTTAATTGATCGTGCTGGCATTGATGTGTTAAAACAGTATTTGGCCTGAATTCTGAATCTGACTTTCTTCTAAATTTATTCTTTTCTTCTTATACACTACACTGGTTTTGTGGGTGGTTGTTTTTTTTTTCCTGTTTCTCTGGGACCTAAAGTCTTCTGGGCCGACTTCTTTGCCTGATTGGTTTTTAATTGTGGGTGATACCTGCATGTCTGACATCTATCTGTGTTATGAATACATTGAAGTATAAAACCCAACTGCTTATGCAGACAGCAGAGGGAGCTTCAGCACCATGTATTGTGAATGATCAAGTTGGAAGACTCAAGGTTTTTAACTTTGAAATGCAGCAAACTAGACTACATTCCATTGAGCTGTTCCATAAAGTAGCACATGTAAGGGAGCCATCTTCTGTATTTCATAATTTGAAATCAGATAGGATTTTTGGCTGGTGGAAGGTGTCTTCAATGTATTTGATTTGGACTGATAAGGAAATGTGGATCCCACATACTACACCTACGACACCCAGGAAGGTGGAACTCTGGAATACATCATATAGTGGGGACAGTAATCTGCATAGTTGAAGTGCAGTGCAAAATATACTTGGTATGGAGACAGCCAGCCTAGGTTCTGCTACATCTTGTCCTCTGGTGAACTGTATAGGCAGCACAGCAACATCTTTCATTTTATATGGCTGCACCTCCAGTTTTTGAACTAGCTCCATAAATTCACAGCGTGCTCATCAGACCTAATAAGCTTTTGATGAACCTGAAGCACTGGGAGTTCAGTGGGCTCTAGTCCAGTGGTATCTGAGTAATTCTGCAGGAAACAACTTGGTTCTGAATGCCTTACTGGTTTCAACTTAACAGTAGTAATGTCAGGTTTGGCCTCATTCCCTCTAGACATTCAGGTGTTCCTCTGCTGTCCTGTACTTCCAGCAACAATCATGCAGGGATGCCCGTAGTGTGTGTCTGTGTGTAGCCGTTTGAGGTCTGTCGCGTGGAGCATGTTGATTCTGACTTTTCCTGCTTAGGTGTACCTACACAGGTTGCTTAGCTTGGCTTACCCTGCAGAAAGGACTCTTACATTCATGACATGATTTTTCTGGGCTAACAGATCTGACTGACGCTGTATAATTCCTCACAGACCCTAATCAGAAACCTTTACATCCAGACTATCCTTATTTAGCAGTGTGGGGAACCACCGGCAGGCAATTCAGACTTGCCAGACTAGGTTGATAAAACAGTTTGCTGCTTTCCCTTGTAGCATTACGCCCATGTCTGGGCATAATTCCTTATGCTAGCAGCCTCCCTTTCAAGGAATTTGTGCAGAAGCTATCTTCTTTTTTTTTTTTAATACATGTTTTGGTGCCCTGCCAGCTGACGCTGTCGTGCAGCACTGGTCACACTCTAAACATTTGCCCAGAGAAGCTGTGGATGCCCCATCCCTGGAAGTGTTCAAGGCCAGGCTGGATGAGGCTCTGAGCAACCTGGTCTAGTGGAAGGTGTCCCTGCCCATGGCAGGGGAGTTGGAACTAGATGATCTTTAAGGTCCCTTCCAGCCCAAACCATTCTGTGATTTGAGAGGCAGCATGACATATCTCACTCAGAAGCTCTGGAAGTGTAACAGGTACCAGAAATGTGTGTTGCAAGATAAATATCATAGAGTTATTGCTCAGGAAATAAAGCAGGGAAGAATTTGTGAAGTTCTAATAGCATGTTAAAATTTAGAGGCAAACATCCCTAAACTTGGATCAGTTTAGGAGGGTGAAGATTAGTACTTAAAATTCACTGAACTCTATTGAAATAGGTAGTTATACCTACGTGCATTTTTTCTTTGGTGTTTTTCAAAAGTATTTGTGCTGTTTATATTTAAATATTTGTGTTAAGAATTTTTTTCAACTATATGAGAAGAATAGACCATAGTGGTAAGTGATCCAAGTTTGTAGAGCTACAAAATGCGGGTGTGAGTCTGTGGCTTATTCTGTACGATATCGTGCTCATAGCAAATAGGAGAGTTTATTGTTTGAACGAGTCACTCTCACTGAAACTTTTTGGTCATTGATGCTACTGCAACTCCAGTTCTCTCAGATTACGTTAGAATCCAGTCATTACCACATTTTTGTAACACATTACTATGAAGACGTTTTTCTTTGATAGTGAGTAAACCCAGTGTTTTCTCACATGGAGCTACTTCTATTTTAAATGCAAGTAGTGCAAGAAAAAATCAGGGGGTTTGTTGGGTTACAAACCATAGCTTTACAGTTTAATCTGCTTGCGGCTTGTTTTCTTCATCTTTTTGATAGGAGATGGCCAAATTTCTCAAGAATAATTGACACACAGGGGAAAATAAAATTGCTTCATATTTGTATATGGTTTTCGTTTAACAGTAGATCCCGTAAGATTTTGCAAGCAATAGCAGTTGGGTGTATCTCTTGAGACACTGGGCTTGGTAACTGTTTACAATTAACACACTGAGCCTTTCTCTTTTAGCAAATCTCTCCATTATACTGACAGTTGGGTTTTTTAAGTTTTTCCTCAAATTCTGGGAAAATGCAGACGATCCTTGAAATGTTTCCAAGCAAATTACTTGGACCTTCTACTGTGTCACTAGAGATTTGAGATCTTACAGATTCTTGCTGGGTTTTTTTCACCAGTCTGCTGGTGATTAAAAGAATGTCTCTGCAAACCTGTGGCGCGTTGTGGATGTACGTGGCAAAGTCACGTCCAAGTACAATTAGCCAAGATACTGGTGATCCAAGTGTCAATGAAATAACAACTTCTTGGTCCAAATTACTTCTACTTCATTGTTGTCTGTCGAATACTAGTAGTACTATCACACTGTTTGTTTGGTAATCCCTTGGCTTCCTTTGACAGTGAGAATTTGCTGACCATATTGCTTCCAGAATGTCAGCTGCTGATCTTAAAACAAACCAAACCTTCCCCTACAGCATTCTTATCTGCATGTGAGTAGCTGTTGGAGGATGGTTGTATCCCCTATGCCAGGCTGCTTTATTTAAGGTGCTTTTTCATGCAATTAGTTGCATACTTTGCCCAGTTATCTGTACCTAGCAGTTCATCTTCAGTATGCCTTTCAGGGCTATATAACCAGGCTAACATTGCTTTAAGAGATTAGATGTTGAATGATGTAAAGTGATGCTATAGGCATTACATTTTTATTTTTCAAATGGACTGTTGCTGCTTGTACTGAATTCTTTTTGTGTGTTTGTTTTTAATGCAAGTAATGCCTATGCATTTACTACATAGGCAAACTCATTTTCTGCTGAAAACTGATGGCTTTTACACGTGGTCATTAGCTAAAGCAAGCTGTAACTTTTTGCTGTGCCATTGCTCAGCTGTTATAATGCAGGTTTACCAGTATCTTTAGTCATACTCTAATGTCCCTATATGCTTAAATGCTGGTAGATTTTCATTCTTCCTGTTGCATTTTGCGGATTGCTGTTGTTATGGTCTCTCCATTCCCTTTAGTTGCAGTTTTCACATCTAAGACTTGGTATATTTCCATATTCATTCAATTTCCTTAAAAAGATATGGGATTAGGTATTTTTCTTATTGAATCAACTTTAAGTATTTTTACCATGTTTTTTCACTGAACATCCTTTATTGCAGCAGCTGGAAATGACAAGCTGGATAATAAGTTTATATGGTATTTTCACATAGTGATTTAGGAATCTGTTTAAATTCTTCCTTATTTCTTTGTTTCCAAGGGGAAACCACGTTAAATAATTTCAGTTCTGTTCCAGGTGTCTACAGGTTGAGGTTCTTGGGGTTTTTTGCTTTGTGATTGGTGGTTGCACATTTCATATTACATCAAAAGTAGTTCAACTTTTGAAAAACAAGTTCTGTTGCTTGTTGCTTCCTATGCTAACCTTTCTTTTCCCGTCTAGAAAATGGCAGTCTTTGTTGAGACCAGAAACAGACCCAATTTTATATTTAAAAAAGAAAATATTCTTGTATTAAGTGGCATCTAAGTTTTAGAACTTGTTGAAAAGGTACCTATGAAGTTTTCTATTGCAAGAGGCTGAGCTGAAATACAAGGGATGTACCTATTTCATTAAAAGCTACATGAGAAACTATAAATTTTATGATAAAACTTAAACGAGGTTAATAAAGCCAGTTTTGTACTAAACCAGAAGAAAATTATCTGTGTTATAGAAGGTTTTGTAATGTGCAATATGAAAAATACAATTTGGACAAGCTTAACGGGGGTATTTGCTTGCAGTACTCATATTCCAAAGGCTTTGCTGATATTAATTCAGTTTCACTTCACACCACTGAGCTAGGAAACTTTCACGTATGTGGGAACTGAGTTAGATTCTACTCAAAATCATACAGACGGTATATTAGAGCAGGAGTTGGTAGAAAATTCCAATTTCCTGTTGTATTTCTTAAGCCATTTTGTGTGCACAAACATAGTGGGGAGGCTGTGTATTTTAGTCAAATAGAAGACTGCTTACTCTCTGCCCACACCTGGTAGCTTTCATTTCAGTTAGTACCAGTTGAAGTGTCACAGTTGAATGTTCTTATTCCAGCTTTTAGCAGTGCTGAGTGTATTATGGTTGCATTAATATAAATTATTCTGTTTCCTTACACAACATGCTTTGCAACCCTGCAGAAATATTACTGATGATGAATCCTCAGTGGATGAACTGAGAGGCACACTGCGGTTTTTTGCATCTGTATTAGTTCGGAGAATTCACAAGGTAAGGTGACTTAAAGGTATTAACGTTGTTTTGCTATCAGAAATAACAGCTATCTCTCTGTAGTGAGTTCTTTAAATTTTTTAAGATGGCGATTCCGAATTCAGTCTTACAGAGAGCATAGGCAGTTTCCATCTAGGTTTCTTCTTTGCGGTATCTGTTCCCTCTTTCTGGAGCTTATCCCATTCCTGGTTAAACCATCTTTGAAGATTTGTCATTGGAAGTGTTCAAGGCCAGGCTGGATGAGGCTTTGAGCAACCTGGTCTAGTGGAAGGTGTCCCTGCCCATGGCAGGGGGGTTGGAACTAGATGGTCTTTTGAAGGTCCCTTCCGACCCAAATCATTCTGTGATTCTTGCAAATGGATTTCTTTTCTACAGCAGTGCAAGGCATTCTTAAAACCTTGGGATGATCTTTTTAGCTGTCTTTTAGTGACTTAATCCAAGTGGAAACAGTTTTGAGAATTACTGAAAAAGAACTGTTAGAGTACGGTTAGTAGGGTAGCTGTCTCTCAGCTTCTGCTTGCTCAGCTGCTGTAAACGCAGACGAGGTCCGTAGGCTGTCATTAAGCGAATAGCTTACTCTAAGAATTAAAATGCTTATGGTTCTGATATTACTGTAGTTCTTAAGAAACAGTCTGAAGAATAAACAATCACTTTTTTTTTTTTTTTGCTGTTTAATATATTAGCTGTATTTCTATTTCTTGTTACTGTATTTCTGTTAAGAAACAGTCTGAAGAATAAACAATCACTTTTTTTTTTTTTTTGCTGTTTAATATATTAGCATATACACTCTGTTTTCTGGTAAAATGCTTCAAGCCTGTTATACAGGAATTGCTTCTAAATTTTTGGCTATTCTAGGAAGGAATTGTTGCTAACTCAGTTTCCAGATTTACTCAGTGCTAGCCCCTCTGTTGGAGCAACTACCACAAATGTGTCTCTTTTTTTTTTTTTTTTTACCCCCCTCCTTAGTAACAGCAATATTTCCTGGGCCACAAGTTGTACATGTTCTCTGTTGCGACTGATTAACAGCCTGTCCTTGTTATAGATCAAATCCAGATGACTTTCTTGTTTACTCTAACTCAAGCGTGTTGCTTTTTAAAGTGAACATGGGGGAAGATTAGGAAATGTCTGTGCAGTGCAGACATTATTTGGAGGTGTGAAATATTTCAAAGGGACAATCTAGAGAAGGTCTTAAACTTTAATTTGGGGTTGTAATACAAGCAGGTGTTAGTTGCATTGTTTGTATATCCATTGTTGATTCAGAAAATGATGTCTCCTCTGTTGATCATGTAAGAGTATTATTCATGTTAGATCATAGCATCTTTAGGTAGAGTACTGATTTACCACGTCTGCCTTCGACAGTAGTGGAGTAAATGCAATACACTCAGTTGTATGTGTCTGGGTAGACAACACGTGCAACAAACTCAAAAGACATGTTCAACCATTAAGCACTGGTCAGGGGAACTACAAGATAAAGGCCATCACAGAAGTGCGTTTCACTTTACAAATGTTTAAATTTATTTGTATCCATCCTACAGAATAACCATAACTTATTTTGTGTGGTATGGATACCTTAAGCGAAAAGATACTCATAGTAACGTAGTGTTTTGGAACAAAATGGAATGCCCAGGCATGCTCAGCCATGGAGGGGAGCGTGGCGTCTCATGCTGTACTGTGTTTTTCAGCTCTTTTTTAAAATTTATTTTCTGCTGAGCAAGTGTGTCTGTGTGCACACACTCACATACAGCTTCAGACTGCCTGAATTAATACCTCTGATGCATATACTACTGAAAACGTGCGTAGAAATCGGAGCTGGTGCGCAAGTTGCAAATAAAATACCAAATTTGTGTCATTTAGGATTCCTCGTTGAAAGCTTCAGTAGTTAGCTGAAAAGGGTTGTGACAGAATATGTTATAGCCTTTCAGCTGTGGTACAGTGTCCTTTGTAACCTCATTTCAGGAGAAATTCATCACTGATTGCAAATTAAAATCTTATGCCTTTGCAAAACAGCTGTATTTTGATTTGGATTTATTAAGTCCTTGAAAGCACTAGTTCCATCTAATAGAGATAAATGTTTTAAATTTGGGAACTAGTGTGTATAAGAAAAAACAAGGGTTTTTCCTTTTTTTTTTTTTTTTAGATTATATCTTTATACATTTTTTGCCAAAGAATCTTCTACTTTTGAATTAAGACTTAAAATTACAAATTGCTTCAATTAAAAGAATTCCTTTGTCTTCTGTTTAAAACTGCCTAGGTGGATTCTTTGAGACGTGGTTGTTGAACAAAATAACAAGGGCTTTAGGCCAGTTACTCTTTGTTGAAATGTTGAAATCCTCCCTCCCCACACCCCCAGCCCCTCTTTTTTCCTTGTGGTGGTCATTTCTGGGTCGGTTATGGGTTTAGGAGGGCAAGTGGAGGGTTTCCCTTTCTACAGTGTGGTGTGGATAGCCCTATATGAGGTTGAAATTCTTGCCAAGAGTCGATAGTGTCTACTACAGTGTCAATAACAATTTGCTTGCTGTGCTCTTTGACTTACCTCTGCAGGATTGAACACCCCTATCCCTGTGTTCCACAGAAAACCATGATTTATTGAAATTATTGTTGAAATGCGAGTCCCAAAGGAAAGGGTTTTCCGTCGATGAGCAGAAGTTCCTACTTGTTCGTAAATAGGAGCTGACCTTAATTTAGTTAGTTACTTTTAGGCAGTTCTAGTCAATTGTAATAGCTTGTCTGGGCTGTCCAGGTCAGGCTGTAGTTGGGCATCGTAGGTATTATGGGGCAGTG